TAATGTTTTATAACAAGGAAAAAGTGACATTTGTAACATTTGAAAGACAAGAATTAAAAGTTTATCCGTAATAGGATGTGCTAATGTATTAAAAATTATTTGTATGACAGGGTTCTGAATAGCAAATGTAAAGTCATCTTTAAAACCCAGATTTCACAATAAAACATGACTAACTGCCTTCAAGAATCCATAACCATCAGTCATCTAACACAATATTCTAACTCTGTCCAGGTCACCATTAGCTTACTTTTCTTCTTATATGCTTTTAATGTCTAATATGTTAGCTTCCACTTGTGGATAAACAACAGCACAAAAGCTATCCTTGAAGGTCTGTGTCAAAGGACAGGGGCTTCCCCAGTCCCAGGTTTGAGTGCAGGCAGCAGGTGCCTGGGAAGTACTGTGTGCTTGCTGTGCAGAAGTACACAGCTGAGTCTTCAGGCTGGGTGTCTCTGATGTGCAGGGAGAGATGTTTGGCTGTCTTATTCAATAAGAGAGTGAGTTTTTCGTCTTCTTTTGTGGTCATGCTTGAAAAAATGTCTATAAGGAGCTGGGGACCTTCTCCAAGTTCTTGCTTATACCAAGGGAGGTAACTTGAGGTACTGTCTGAATAACTGCAGCTGATAACAGAGCTGCTTCCCTCCTGGACACTCAGGGTAGGAGGATGCTGCTCCACATTCTCTCCCTGGCTGAGCCCTGTGCAGAAAGAAAACGTGAGAGTAGGAGAAGAGATTCCAGGTTATTGTGCTTCAGAATGCTCTTTTTCTACACTAATGGTAGGAAACCTGAGTAAAGTCAGTCATGACTTCTGAAGAATATCCACTAATATACTACAGTGCCCATAAACGCTCAACTCACAGGTGAGTTGCAGCCACGAGAACGTGATTAAAGCTTTCATGGATGTCTTCATGGTTCCTCCCAGTTAAGCTCAGGTTCAGAATTGCAGCCTCCAGCCAGCTCAGCTACTTTTCTTATCAGGGCATCCCTTCTTTCCTCTAACAGAGTAACTTCCCATGTTGTCTACCAGCCAATAAGAAAAAGGCTCTGCTGCTGCCATGGTCTAGTCCATCAGATGCACTAAGATGAACCCTCCATGTGTTCTGCATCAGCACAAGTGCATTGCCGTCTTGTGGTCATGTCTCTATTGAACTCCCTGGGGAAATGCTCTTCTCTTAGCCTGTGTCTCTGAGGGACTCACATGCATCAAGGCAGCAGTCAGTCAAGCAAATTATATCTTAGATCACTGATGAAGGGTACAGTAAGAATGAGGAAATCAAGGTTTATATGCCTGCACACTACTGAGTCACTGTTAGTAAGTTGGAAAGAGGTAGATGCTATTGCTATTTATTCAGTAATGGCCCTGGTGTACATGTTTGAAATCAGGAAGGAATCATGATTTACTTCCTTCCTGTTCTACCAAATCTACCATCCTCAACTGTCTATTACAGAGAAAACCCTTTTGTAAAAGGAAAATGTAACCAAAGATTACAGTAAGAAAGAGAAGATCATTTGATATTTCAAATGCCTCTGATCTCAGCTCTGCTCCTCCTGGATGGTATTGCCTGACCTTGTTTTTTCCAAAGGAATGACAGTACCAACAGTCAAAATGTGGACTATCCCTTCAGTTCAGATGACTATGACAAAAAGTAAAGGACCAAATCTAAATGGTAGGGGAGCAGGGATAACTTGCATCTGTTATTACTATTTCAACTGTAGGAAACTTTTTGACCTAATATTGCACTAATTTGTATAGAGAAATCTGACAGATTTCTCTATACAAATTAGTGCAATCAGCAGTAGAATCAGCAGTAGTGCAATCAGCAGTAGAATCTCAGTAGAAATCCTGAGAAAACATCAAGCTGCAAACTCAGAAAATATGACCACTTAACTATGTAAGTTTATCCTTGAGGTGATTTCCTTTTCTCAAATCAAAATACACGGCATGTCCTCCAATGCAATTACTGACTCACAGCCTAAGGAGAATTTCTGCTAAAGTATTAGCCATCCATCCTGTCATGCTTCCCACTTCCTGGTCAACAAACTCCACATTCCATACTCCATTATATTTCTCCTAAACTCCACTACAGTGTTCTTGCCTCAGTACTCATTAATAAAGTTCTCCAGTCCTGCGAGTTTCCAGAATTATCTCTCTCTTCCAAAACCCCTTTCTCATTCATATGAATTTCTTGGAATCTTCTGATGACCTCTATGAGAAAAAATCCAGGAAACCATAAATATTGTGTGTGCTGGGGGATGGTACCAACAGGAAACTGCTCCTAAAGAACTGATCAAGAGAAATGGTCTCTGAGAAACCAAGACTACCTCATTTCCAAAAATGGAATCCCCTTTCCTGTGATTCCTACTCATGGAGCCTCTGAAACGACAAAGAATACAACTCGTCTTCCTTCTACCTGTTCTACCCTGAAAGATTTAAAGACAGCTATCAGAACATCAACTCAATATATTAATATATGTGTATATATGAAATGTGTTTTTATGTATGGAAAACTTCTTGGTTCTGAGAATCTTCCATTCTTTCACCCATTCTCCATAAAGTAAGAATTCTCACACTTCTCAGGGTAAATTTCCCTCTTCTCCGATAGAGATTATTTAGGTCAATATTTGCAATTTTTAGGTGTGACTATTAGAACTGAATGTAAAGTTCTGAATATGACCATTATCTATAATAACACTTTTCCATTTATTAACTATTACACAGATAAGGCCATCCCTTGTGCAAAATTTCCAGCTCCTTGATTATTTCATTGGCCCTTGGTTTAGTATGATCCTAGTGTTGGTCTAGAAAACCTTCATCTACCTTTTTCATGGACTGTCAGTTCTGCAAGTCTTCCAATTCCAGTGACCTTTTTTGCAGACAATGTGTGAGTTATGCACATTATGCTCATCATGCCTTCAAGGGATGCCCAACTGGCATATTAAATATATTTTTTTTTTAAGGAAAGCACTTAGAAATACTTCTAGGTGTTCACATGGTGCCATCACCTTTGGCTTACTCTTATAAAAACAGTGAGTGATGCATGAGTTTGCTGGTAAAATCACGGTGGCTCAGCCTGAGTCTCCCTTCCTGCCCAAGGTCTCAGACATTTACATAAATTGGAACTCTCCATTCAGGATTTCAAACTGATTGGACCACAACTTTCTCAGACCCAAACCACAGAGATAAATGCCTGGGATTGCATTAGACACTTTCTCTTCACTCAGCACGATGGTCCTACAGGAAGGGGGCAGGGGAAAAAATGCTAAAGAGGAAATTAGGAAACCCAGTGTCTTTCTCCTCCAGCTCACTCACTACCTAATTTTTTCATACAGTCATCTTGGAAACAGTCAAGATGTGTAACATGAAGTTGGACTCAAGAAATTCTAAGGGCCCTTCTAGCTCTTAATTTCTTCTATGCTATATTACGAAGCAAATATTTATTGATGACTGGTTGTATGCAATGTGGACTGGTGTCAGACTGAGTGAAATTGTGTGCATCATGGAACCCCAGGGCCGTTTTTATAACCACATGTGATCTAGTGGGTCTGAGGTTGATTCTAACTCACCCTGAGGCCTCTTCAGCAGGATGAGATGAGATGAGATCCTACCTGGGTTTTTGTTTCTTCTCTGAGATCACTACCTGGGTTTTCTTTTCTTCTCTGAGATCACTAATGTATCAAGGAGAAATAAATCCAATTTAACATTGAATAAAATGGCAATGTATTCACTGAGTCCTTTACAGGCACTGAGATGAGGGTGCACTATGACCTGAGCCATGGGTAAGCAGGAAGTTCTTTTGGAGTTTCAATTTCTTATAAATATCTTTTACATACAACTTATGTACTGTATGAAAAAAAAGAATCTCTGCAGTTGAGACAACCTAGGGGAGGTGGATGAGCTGTTTAATATAGAAAGCGAGATGCACTTTTTAAAACAGCCTAATTGCTTTATGGATTCTGGCTTTCTCTTTGAATCCTTAGTTCAGAGTTTCAAAATTTCCAACCAGGGATGCCTCTTCAATTTTTGAAATCATCTCAAAATGAAAACTTGGGAACATAATTCAAAAATTAGGTTAAAATATATCATCAGGTAATGTTTCTATGGGAATCATTTATCTAAAATGCTTTAACCCTTCATACATATTAGTTTCATGTCTCCCATTTATTTTTTAAAGATTTTCTTCTTTTCAACCATCACAACCAGGTTCAAAGAAAAAGAAGGACATAGTGCTGAGGTATCCTGTATACCTTCTGACCCCACACAAGTATGGCCTTCCCATTATCACCTTCCCAATGACCTTTTCACAGTGGAAGACCCTATGTTGCCACATCATGAAACCCAATGCCCACAGTTTATCTAGAGTTCATTCTTGCTGTTGTAGGTTCTTTGGGTTTGAACAAATGTATTAAATATGTATCCACCATTGCAGTATCATAGAGAGTAAGTCATTACATTAAACATGCTCTGAGCTACACTGATACCTCTTATTCCCCTCAACCCTTGGCAACAACAATCTCTTACTCCCTCCAGAGTTTTGTCTTTTCCAGAAAGCCATAGAGCCTGAATCATACCTTACAGCCTTTTCGGATGGGTTGTTTTTACTTAGTAAAATGCATACAATTTCCCCCTATCTCTTAATGGCTTCATACCTCATTTCTTTTTTGGCACCAAATCACATTCCATTATTGGATGTGCCACAATTTATTTATTCATTCACTTATTGAAAGACAGGTAGCTTACTTCCAAGGTTGGTAATTATGAATAAAACCTCTATAGAACATTTGTGTACAAGTCTGTGTGTACACATAACTTTTCAAATCCTTTGGATAAATACAAAGGAAGACCATTGCTGGACAATGTAGTAAGAGTATGTTTAGGTCTGTAAAAAAAATTGCCAAACTGCTTTCTTGAAATGTCCAGGTATACACATTCAATTTGTAGTAATTTCCCAACAATATTTACTAGACCCTTTGCTGCATACCAAAGCCCCAGCTAGTCCAAAACAGGCATAAACACCACAGGTGGCCATGCCAACTGCTCAGCTCACACACAGACTGCTGTGACCCAGAACCTGAGCCTGCATGTGTTCCTGCCTGAGTCCTGCTGCCCACATATCTCTCTGCTCAGGCACTTGTTCCCCCACTTATGGGACAACCTTTTAAAAGACAGGTACAAAGATAAAATTAGTATTGATTTCAAGACAGTGAGGGCACAACATCAAACTAAGGGCACGGTTCTTTGGGAGAGTTGGGGGCTATGTAATTGCACAGGTCCCATGCTCAGGAAGCTGGCTTTTCTCCCAGCTTCAGGGAGTGTGCCCATCTTTCTCTATCTGAATTTTCAGGGGCACAGGACTTCCTATCAATGCCTTTTTCTCAACATAAAAACCAGTGCAGGCTGGAACTCAGTATGTGCTGGAATCTTCCACATGCAAGTTTCAACTCTGGGTTTGGGGTCAGCAGTATTTAGGGTTCTTTTAGGGTTGTCCTGGAGGATTTCTGCTCCCTTTTCCAAACCGGGAATGATGTTACAAGATCATGAAAATAGGTTCATTCAAAATGCAAGGGAGAGTGACGATTTTCATGGAACAGAATGAAAATTTCCATGTGCTCGTCCACACAAGGTGCTATTCAGAAACGACTGAAATGGTTACTTCTGTCAATGATAGATGTCAACATATCGTACAAATTGATCAATAGAAATCATTGAGATTTTGTGATTCTGTAGGGTCTTCTATATCGCTATTCAGAGGATAAGCATTCTTGTCATCTCAGATTCATCAACTTTGGAATAATATGAGCTCCACCAAGTCACTTATGCTCTAAAATCCTCCCTTTATTCATGCACAAAATGAAAGTACTTATTCATAGGGTATTATCTTGCTGAAAAAGAAAATAAATGTAATAAGTAGAGTGAGTGACCCTCAAAGAAATTATTTTATTACATTTCTATTTCCAGGAGTAAGAAAAAGCTGAATACAGACTTGAAAAAAACATTCAACATGGTCTCTTTATATTTCACTGAAAAATAACCTACAGGAAAGTTAAAAATTATGTCACGTCTTTTGTTTGTTCATGACCATCTATTTTTTTTTTTGAGGGTTTTCCATTTAAGTAATTTATAATTAATTTATGTGGTAGCTGCCAGGACCTCTATCTTCCCATGGTACTGGATATGGACATTGCTATCACTTGCTCCAAGGGTTCCATGGTAGAGGTTTTTACCTGCAAAGAGCTTTTTGGAAAAAAAAGAGCAAGAAAAGCAAGTGAAATGAGAACACTGCTAGGTCTAATTTTAGGAGGAAAAAGACACTGTTACATTAATCTGAAAATATGCAATGGCTGCAGTGGAAGCCCCAGGGAAGGGCAGGGGCTTGAGGCCCAGCTGCAGTTTGGGTGCAGGCTGCAGATCACCAGGGAGCACTGTGCCTCCACCGCACACAGGTAGGTGGCTGAGTCTTCCAGTCGGAACGCCGTGATATGGAGGGTGCTGAACTTTTCCTTAGTATTCACTGTGCAGTTTAACCTCCCACTGTGCTGCATCCCTGAAGTTATGTAAAACAGCCGGGTGAGGCTGCCGCCCCCGGGGTGCTGTCGGAACCACTGCACATTGTATACTGTGCTAGAAAAATTGCACTTGAGAGTAGAACTGGCTCCCTCCTGGAGGCTCAGGACTGAAGGGCTCTGCTCCACCATCATCCCTCTCACCCCTGTGTGGAAAGAAGGAAACAAACACAAATTATATCACTGGAGAGTCACTGATGCAGTTTGAAAATGTGTAAAATATCCTAAGACACACCCCTGAGGATATAGGACTCTAGGAGCTCAGTGTCAGCTCCTCCCATCACTGTGGGTTGTGGACCACTCCCCAGTCCCTTCTGGAACGTCCCCACTCACAGCAAACCTGGAGCCACAGGATTCCCAGCAGAGCTCCCCAGGGTGTCCTCATGATACCTTGTCTAGTTAATAAGGTGCCTTCACCCCTACTGTGTAGAGTGTAGTCTTGGGTCCAGAGGAATTGTGTTCTTAGAGTCAATCCTTCCCACCAGAATCACTGAGCACCAATCGCACCTCAGCCCTGTCATTCACAGAACTTGAGACTCCACCCACAGTGGCCCTATATCACTGCACAGGAATCTCTCCCAAACTGTGCTTGCGGGCAGTGCAGGCAGGTAGGAGGAATATTTCCAATATAGGAGTATGTAAGGTTTTTTTTTTTTTTCTTAAAACACTTTATGTAAGAAAAGTGCGGGTTAGTGTGTGAAGAAAGGTGAATGATTCTTCTAGGAGAGTCAGAGCCTATTGGGGATTACCCAGAACCTTGAAGAATCATATGGAAGAATGACTCCATTCCCCAAACTGCATAGTTTGACAGACAATGTGAGCATTCAGTTATGTAAAAATACTGATAAAGGAAAACTATCTGATAGCATCCACTCAGTATTGCCGAAGTAAATACAATTTATCAAAAGAGTTCTAGAAACCAAGACAGACGGTCACCGTCTGTAAAGAAAATGATTCCTACCAGAATGTGGTCAGTGAAAAATAGGATGTAGTGCTTAAAGTCCTCTCTGATATAATTTCCACCTCTCCAACTCTCCTGTGCAACTGCTAGACACCATGCTCACCCACAGAGCTCAGTCTGACCAGCCACACATTGCAGGCCAAAGTCAATATTGTCCTCTCCCTTTCCTTTTCTTTTTGTTCCTTATTGTTTCCTCTCTTCTCTTCATTTTTGTTTCTCTCCACTCTCAGCACATGAAAAGGTAGGATATGTGGGTATTGAAATAGTTTCAAGGCCAGTAAATTTGGGTGATTTTATTCATAACAATTGACAGCAGATAATGGGATATTTTCTGTTGAATATCTGATATTTCCATACTCACAATGCCCAGAAATATTCCTCTCCTGGTACCTGTGAAGAATTATCTGCATAATGGATTTCTAGAGACATGGCCTCCAGATGTCTGAAGTTGATATGCAATGGCAGAACTGAAAACCTCACAGGGTCTTTACAAACAAAACAAAACAAAACAAAAAAAACCCTGTTCTCTCTTTTCCCTATCTTTGCTATCTATAAGTGGACTGGCTCACATGATTTCTGTTCTCTGTAACTATTCAACCTTCCAACCATCACAAAGTCTTTGTTTCTCCTAAGGTCTAGAGTGCCCCCTAGAGGAATGAAGCTCGTGGCAAAGACCACTTAGAAGGAGCCACTCAGCAATCCCCAGACCCATTCATTCCAATCTTCCTGGTGACGGAAATGCATATGACCAGAAAAGAAGATAGCTGCTTAGTTTGAATGGGGGTTACAGGTAAACCAAATCCCACTTTTAAAATGGAATTTCATGGAAATTGAGATCAGAAAATAATTTGGTAAATTTCATCTTGTGCTATTTATTTTATTTCTTTACCTGAGTTCAGAAATCAACAAGTATTCATTGAGCATTTTCAAAGGAGTAATTTCCTAGATGCTCAGAATATATAAAGTGTAATAGAATATTCTTCAGCCATCAAAAAATGAAATTCTGCCATTTGCAATGACATGGATGGAGCCAGAGAATATAACTCTGAGGGAAATAAGTCAGTCAGAGAAAGACAACTACCATGTGATGTCACTCTAGTGGAATTAAAGAAACAAACCAAACAAGCAAGGAGGAAAAAAAAACAAGACAAAAATGAATCAATTAAACAACTCAATTAGGGGCGCCTGGGTGGCTCGGTGGGTTAAGCCGCTGCCTTCAGCTCAGGTCATGATCTCAGGGTCCTGGGATCGAGTCCCGCATCGGGCTCTCTGCTGGGCGGGGAGCCTGCTTCCCCCCCCCTCTCTCTCTGCCTGCCTCTTTGTCTACTTGTGATCTCTCTCTGTCAAATCAATAAATAAAATCTTTGAAAAAAAAAAACTCAATTAAACAGAACTAACTGATGGTTACCAGATGGATAGAGTTGGGAGATGGGTTCAATAGGTGAGGGGATGAAGGAGTGCCCTTTTCCTGATGAGCACGGGTGATCTGTGGAAGTTTTGCATCACTATATATACACCTGAAACTAATATAACGTTTCATGTTAACTAACTGGAAATAAAATTAAAACAATACATATATAAATAAAATATACAAAAGAGGAACACATACAAGCTTACATCTACAGGGTAAGACAAAAATATATATATTTATAATCGAGTCAAAGAATAGGACACTAAGTGAAGGGAAAACTAAAAACTATGTGACCCCAGAGAAATACGTATAGTTTAGGTCGATGGACATAATGTTATGAAAAAGGTGGTCATCTCTCCTTTCCCCTTTTTGGTGCCAAGAAGGGAGGGGAATACAGATAAGCCTCATTACTTTTAACAATAGGAGAAATTTGTGAACATGTGAATTATTAAAAGTAATAAAACATTTCACATAGAGTAAAATCCTTTTTGACTACCACTTTCAATTCTGACGATTTCATCACTTATTACCTTATTTCTTTGTTCATCTTGACAATTTGGGGTTGATGTTCACAGATGTTTTACTAGATTTAAATCGACATAAAACACACAGCATTTTATTTAGAATTTATTATAATATAAATATACATTTCTTGTTTATAATCTCAATAGTAAATCTTATAGATCTTATATATTAACCCATATACATCCTTTGCTCCTTTATATTCCATATTGTGGATATATTTCAGTATATATATCCTTTCCTCTATTGATCAAATGCTAAGTCGACTTATTTAATCTAGGAAATACTACACTACAACAAACCTTATAAGCATTCCTTACATGAGCACATGTTTTTCTAGGAACAGAAACTAGGAGGAAATGAAGGAATGAGCCCCGAGGCTGGCAGGCGAAAATTACTCCAGGTGGAGGAAAGTCAGGGACAAAGGGCTTGAAGAAGAATGAAGAGAATTCATATTCTGATTATTGTGTTGGAATATTTTCATTTTTTATGTTTTCCTTAATGTGCATTAAAACTGGAGCTTATCAGCTCATTTGATAAACTCTTTCTGAAATTCTGTCCTGATATAGAGATATTGTACAGTTTGCTTCAATCAGCCATTGAGGTTTTCTAAATATACTAAATCAGCAGGAGAAAAAGCACACCCAAGGAGAAGCCATGGTATATACAAGGAAAAAATATTACAGAATAAAATTAAACATAGAAAAGATGTACTCACTTGTACATGTACACACACAAACAGTTTGAGGATATTGTCAATGAAAGAGAAAGGTACTTTACTTTCCCTGAATCATCAGAAAAAAAAAAAAAGAGAAAATTCTGTCAGTGCAACAAAAAAGCAAAGAGAAGAAAGAAGTGAAAGCATATGGAGCAAAACGAAAATATTAGAAATAAGTTTAAATATATCAGTAATCAAAGCATAGATAAAAATAAATTATTGAATTGAATCAAAACTTAAACTTATTGTTCCATATAAACAATGGAATATTACACAACCATCAAAAAATAAGCCAAGCAGAGAGAGTCAATTATCATATGGTTTCACTTATTTGTGGAGCATAAAAAATAGCATGGAGGACAATGGGAGTTAGAGAGGAGAAGGGAGTTGGGGGAAATTGGAAGGGGAGGTGAACCATGAGAGACTATGGACTCTGAAAAACAATCTGAGGGGTTTGAAGTGGCAGGGGGTGGAAGGTTGGGGGAACCAGGTGGTGGGTATTAGAAAGGGCACGGATTGCATGGAGCACTGGGTGTGGTGCAAAAACAAGGAATATTGTTCTGCTGAAAAAAAAAGTAACAAAAAAAATTTGAAATCTTGCCATTTGCAACGACATGGTTGAAACTAGAAGGTATTATGCTAAATGAAATAAGTCAATCAGAGAAAGACAATTATCTTATGATCTCACTGATATGAGGAATATAAGAAACAAGGCAGAGAATCATCAGGGAAGAGAGGAAAAGATAAAACAAGATGAAGGCAGAGAGGGAGAAAAACGATAAGAGACTTGTAATCATAGAAAATAAACTGAGGGTTGCTGGAGGGGAATGGAGTGGTTGGATGGGGTAACTGGGTGACAGGCATCAAAGAGGCCACATGATGTAATGAGAACTGGGTGTTATATAAGATTGATGAATCACTGACCTGTACCTCTGAAACTAATGATACATTATATGTTATTTAATTGAATTTAAATTGTTTAAAAATAAAACAAAATAAAATGTTGGTACTAGCCACTAATTGAAGGTGGCAGATAAAAAGCACATAATCTAAATATGTAATTTTCTAGTTCCTTTTTAATGGTGATTATCTCAATGTATTTGTCTCTACATTTACAATAAATTGCCTGGTACCATCCAGACTTTAAAGATAAAAAAAAAATTGAATGCTATTTTCAAAAACACAAAATGAAGCTGTGGTCGAGGATGTGAAGAGATTGGAACACTTGTCCACTGTTGGAAGCAATGCACAATGCTGTAACCATGGAAAACAGCATAGAAGTTCTTCAAAAAGTATAAAATAGAACTACCATACGATCCAGTCATCCCACTTCTGAGTTTTTAATCAAAAAGATTTTAAATCAACACACAAATGTTTATAGCACCTTTATTCATAATTGCCAAAACATGAAAGCAACCAAGAAATCCTGCAGTAGAAGAAAGGGTAAGTAAACTATGGTAAGCCAGACAAGGGAATCTTATTCAGTGCTGAAAAGAAATGAGCTATCAGGCCATGGAAAGACATGGAGGAAACATACATGCATATTTTCCTCTTTTCTTTTTTTAAGAGTTTATTTGTTTATTTGACAGAGAGAGCAAGCACAAGCAGGGGAAGTAGTAGGCAGAGGGAAGGGAGAAGCAGGCTTTCTGCTGAGCAGAGACCCCAACCTGGGACTCAATCTCAGGACTCCGGGATTATGAGCTGAGCTGAAGGCAGATGGCTAATCCACTGAGCTACCCAGGAGCCCTACATGCATACTTCAAAGTGAAAGAA